AACAGAGTTTAAGTGTATTTGAGCTCGATTCATCATAGTCCAAGAGGTGCTCGAACTTGATCGAACCATGAGTGCCATGATCGAGCTTACTCTATGTGTATATCTTTCATCGATCAATGTTTGATCTCCAAAGTCTAACAAATTTCAATCATTCATTCAATATAAAGATAATAGAGAATTGAGAAGTGAGAGTAGATGAGATAGAGCCAATCTCACTCATTTGAGAGTACTAGCATTTGGAGAGGTCATCGATTAGTGGTTCCACTTTTTCGGTTAGCATTACCGGCTACTACTGCTATAATTGTTGTGTGCTTAGGGGAGGGCCAATTTTGCGGCTAGGTTTGTGAGTGGGGAGAACGAGAATGTGATTAGGGTTTAGATAGATTAAAGGGGGAATGAGCTTGGGAATTAAGGAATTGGCATATAAGGATTAGTTTTATATTCAAAAGAAGGAATAATATAATAAATTTGGATGTATTAGGATGTTGAGATTAGGCTTATAAAATATGAAAATAAGTAAATACCTATTATAGCTTATAAAAATATGAAATATAAGATATATACATATATAAAATCAAACAAAAGGGAGGATTAGGCTTTAGAAATCTCGAAGCTAATTTCCAAAGAGAAAATTCTCAAAACCTATAATGATGTTTTGCTCTCAATTAATATGCTTGGGATTTTCAGGTGACTAAAAAAGGGTTGGCTAGTAAATCATTAAGAAATGATAAGCATCATGAATGATTTTCATGATAAGGTATGATGAATGATGGGACATGTGAGTTGCGGTATGGTAAAGATAAGATTGAGTAAGTGTCCTGTCACATATTATTGTGTAATGCCATGATTAATGAAAAATAAATAAAAATAAAAAACTCCCCAACATCTATTCATAATATTTTAAAAAAAGAGAGAAAGAAAGCTAAGTCGAAGAAAGAAAAAAATAATAATAAAAAAAAATAAAAAGGTAACTGAATTATTTAGGAAAAAATAAAATAGGTGAGTTGAATGGAATAGAGAAAGTGACGTAAAAAAACAAAAACGTTGTTGTAATGCAAATCTACAAATCTAAATTGTTTAAAGTCCAATACTTCTCGTCTTGCTCTTTTTTGGACGCCTAGTTAAGAGCTTCTCCATTGGCGTAGTATCTAGTCCACTTGGCCCATTCTCATTAAAGGAATTCACTAGTGTGTTGGCAATGGCAAATCTCAATAGCCCAACTTACCACCGGTGTTGGGGGAAAAAAATATATACATACAACTTGGGAAGTGTGATCTATTTCGCCTTAAGTGACGTGAAATATTTAATATACCCTGACATGTATTTTCATCTCACTTAAAATGACCAAGTTAGCCTAAGTAATATCCATATATACATTTTGTACAGAGTGTTACTCTCTCTTATCTCCCAGCAGTTAGCACCACCAACTCGTTTTTTCTATAGCAAATGCAACCAGCTCTCCCATACTGATTCTCACTGCCCTCAAAGCATCAATGACCATAAGAAAATTGATGCTGCCCCAGTCAACAACACCCCCGCCACAAAGATCACTCCACACCTACTAATCCACCATGCACCACATGGATCACAGTCAGAAAAAAAAAAAAAAAAAAAAAAAAAAAAAAAAAACCAAAGAAGGCATTAGTAACTGCCCCATCCACTGCTATCTAACCCTCGATTCTTATTACTACAAACAAATTCTCCACATTATCCTAAATTCAACCACATCCCCTAGCTCAGGTTAACATTATTCCTCCAACCTCTCCCTCATCACCTCACCAATGCTCCCCATCCTCTACCTCAACCAGCCCCCCATCACCACATACCATTCACCACTCCCCCCTTTGCATTAAGAAACTAAACTTCTCACGTTTCAACAGTCCCTCACCCAATCAACCATTACAGAAAACCATATCCTTCATGCTAGCCACACACTCTACCATCCCATCCAAATCTCAACTCTCATCATTTTCCCCTATTACTTTTCCCCAGCGGAGGAAAAATTTTGGACTTCAAAGATTAGGAACCATCCTAACAGGATGTTTAAATCACATCTTGAATTCAACTCCACCATCCCACACCCTTGATTGTAATAAGGCTATTTGCTCAAGCCCTGTTGTCTCTTCATTGAGTGAACTAGATAGCTCGGACCAACCTGTCAACAAAGGCAAGATGACAGTCAGAAACTTGAAGAAGGTTGCTAGAATAAAGTCATGTAACAGCTCAGATTTGATGTCAAATGGATCAACCAGTGGCCAAAGACATCTTGGAGGTTTTTTTACTCCACCTTTTAAATGATAAACTTTGCAACATAGAATATTAGAGGGTTAAATCAACCCTCTAAGCAGTCAGAGATTAAGGAACTTATCTTTGACAAGAAGCTGCATTTAGTCTTTATTGTGGAAACCAAAATTGCTCCACCTAATATGTGATGACCCTATGGGTGGGTATGCCGTGGGCGGGTGCAAGACACTGGCAGGCTACCACAATGGCGAGCTACGGGTGCACAATCCCATATTGCCTGGGTAAGGGAAAGGTGAAATGCTTATATGTAGGTATGTCACTCTAATTGGTATAAGGCCTTTTGGGATAAAACCCAATAACAAAGTTGTGCGGGCTCATGCCCAAAGCAGACAATATCATACCATGTGGTGGAGTGGGTCTTTACAAATGGTATCGGAGCCTAACCCAGTCGGAAGTGTGCCGACGGGGACATCGGGCCTCCAAAGGGGTGGATTATGATGACCCTGTGGGCGGGTGTGCTGTGGGCGGGTGCAAGACACTGGCATGCTACCACACTGGCGAGCTACGGGTGTACAATCCCACATCGACTGGGTAAGGAAAATGTGAAATGCTTATATATAGGTGTATCACTCCAATTGGTATGAGGCTTTTTGGGGTAAAACTCAAGAACAAAACCGTGCAGGCTTATGCCTAAAGCGGACAATATCATATCATGTGGTGGAGTGGGTCATTACAAATGGTATCAGAGCCTAACCCAGCCGGAAGTGTGCCAACGGGGACGTCGAGCCTCCAAGGGGGTGGATTGTGATGACCCTGTAGGCGGGTGTATCGTGGGAGGGTGCAAGACACTGGTAGGCTACCACACTGGCGAGCTACAGGTGCACAATCCTATATCACCTGAGTAAGGGAAAGGTGAAGTGCTTATATGTAGGTGTGTCACTCTAATTGGTATGAGGCTTTTTGGGGTAAAGCACAATAACAAAGCCGTGCGGGCTCATGCCCAAAGCGGACAATATCATACTATGTGGTGGAGTGGGTCGTTACATAATGTGAATGCAATCCATAGATTATTGGCTCCCTGAGACATTGCTCACAATTACAACTATTCACATCTAGGCAGAATTTGGGTTATGTGAAACTATAGTATCATTAATCTCTCAATCATAGACATCAGTTTGCAAGCAATTCACTGTAAAATTTCAATCATAGGTCACAGTATCAGTTTATTTGCAAGTTTCATATATGCTTCTACTAGTGTAAATAAAAGACAGGTACTTGGGAGAACCTAATCCACCATGCAGGTCTTTTCTCTCATTCACCTTGGCTGCTAATGGGGGATTTTAATGTCATCCCAAATGCATGTGAAACTCAAGAAGGCTCAATGAAATGGTGTCCAGCAATATCTGATTTCAAAGAATATCTGCAACAGGTAGAGTTAGAGGACCTTAAGTTTAGTGGAATCCTCTTCTCATGGTGCAATAGGAGTTTAGGAAATGCCTATATTGCTAGGAAGCTAGATAGAGCTCTTGTTAATCAAATGTGGACCAGCTCATTTCCTCTTTCTGAATGCAAGTTTCTCCCACCAGGCATATCTGATCACAGTTCAATTCTAGTCACAATGGACTTCAAAATCCCAAACAGGTGCATTTCAATGCTTGAAGTTCACATCCTCAATTCATGGAGTCTGGGCCACCTACATCAGAGGAACATCAATGTTCCAAGTGGTCCAAAAACTGAAATTGCTTAAAACAGTTCTCAAGGCAAACTGCAGGAAGGATTTTTCTGAAGTGGATTCTAAGTTGCATGCTGTCAAATTGGAACTTGACTCCTGTCAACTGGACCTTGATCTTTCTCCAAGTGATCCCCTTCTTAGACAAATTGAGAGAGCCCTCATCACTGATTATCTAAGACTTGCTAGAGACCAAGAGGATATGTTAAGGCAAAAGTCTAGAATGGTTTGGTTGAGGCTTGGTGACAGTAATTCCTCATATTTCCATAAATCTTTATCATTTAGAAACAACAAGAAGTTTCTCTCTCTCACCACAAGGCAAATATTGAGGATTGATAGGGTATTAAAAGGTAGGTTGTTTCCCATTTTCAGAAACTACTAGGAACCTCCTCTCCATTTAGTCACCACATCTCTGATCTTCAGCCCTTCCTCATCAAACAGATCTCGGCCTCCTCAGCTGCACACTTTTCTTGATAAGATTCCATCTCACATGGATATACAAAGCTGTATGTTGAAGCTCAACAAGGATAAATCCCCAGATGGTTTCAATTCTTTTTTCTTCCAAAAAGCATGGAATATTGTTGGCAGATCAGTTATCAAGGCCATTACTGAATTTTTTAGTAATGGCAAGTTATTAACTGAGACACCACTACAACAATTATGCCTTTCACCAATGCTCAGAAACGCTGGTGAAATTCTAAAAAAACACTAATAATTCAATTACCAACGTTTCCCAAGCGTTCATCGATGACCGCTGGTGATTCCAACGTCGCTAGACTTTTACCAGCACTTTTTAAAGAGCGCTGGTATTAAGTCATTACTAGCTCTCTTTTAATGAGTGCTGGTATTAAGTCATTACCAACACTCATTTAATGAACGCTGGTGATTACCTAGTTTTATTAATTTTTTTCTTTTGGTTTTTTTCTTTCCCCTAAACAAACCCATTTATAAAACATGTTTATATATAAAGCAATTACCATCCAAATGTCTACTAATAGATTTAGGCAACCACAAGTTAACCTGCCAATATGAAAATACCATCCAAATTGTTTACTAATAGATAAAGCTGTAGTGAACACCAAATTTTTACAAAAGAAATATTTTTCACAAAAGTAGTAAACACAACCACAAGTTTCCTCAAAAGAACCCATCAAAATGTACTAGAAGCTTTCACATCGGCCAAGGAAATTCAGAAAGCACAACCACTACCCCATCTTCAAACTTTCTTTTTTCTAGCTTCATCTTCAACTTCGACTTCAATTTCAACAACTCCTGCCCATTTGATTTGAAATACCCTACATTTTATATAAATTCATTAAGCGCATATTATAATAAATGGAAATTTAAAATATAAGAAATTAGGGGTATTACAATAAAATATAATAGAAATTTAACATATAAGAAATTAACGACTAATCAAATTAAGAAATTTAGGGGTAGATCAATAATTCATAATTTCACATTTTTAAGATCTCTAAAATTCATTCTTGAATATGCAAGTGTTCAAAGGAATAATGCTGTCAAAATATAAAGTTCATTGTGAACATCCATTTATTCATTCCTTTGAGATCCTTTTAAAATAATATATCTTCAATTCTAAAATTACATGAAATCCTTTGAACTAAACACCGTTCAACTAAAAAGGTAATAAGTTCACTTTAATGCTAATCTTTAGACTTTTTCCCACGTAAGTCAATATTTCAGACATGGCAGAAACTAGAGAAAACTATAGAAACTCACTCCCTAAAACTATCAGACAGTTGCAATCAATCGCTTACTGTCATGTCTCTATTAGCAGCTACATAATTTATCAAAATGATCTTGTTTAAATAAAAATGAAACAGAAAATAAAAAATAAATAGAAAATAACTTACTCTTTACCACACTACTCATTCCAAATAGCTTCTCCCCTTGTAATAAGTAAACCTATATTAAAAGGTCAAAATTTAAACTGTCAGATAACTTCTGAAAAAATTATTTGCATTCAAATCAAAACTTATTTATGAAAAACAAAATCAGAAAAACTTATCCTAACATAAAATCAGAACAGTATAATAACAGAAAGTGGAAGAATTTGAAGAAAGTTTGTAAAAACCTGAATAAAAAAAAAAAAAGTATTAGCAAATAATTAAAAAAGAAGAAGATAAATTGAAGGAGTAAGCTACCTGATGAGTGAGGAGGCATGCTTAATCGTCAAAGCTGCCACAACTATAACCCTAATCGCAGATCTTAGGCGAAATGGGCTCTAAAACACAGAGATGAAGATATGTATAATGTTAGACGAAAAGAGGGATATGTATGAGAGAGAGATAAAATATGAAAAAATGTGAAGTATCAAGAGAGGAGAGGAGAGGAGAGGATTGAGAGGGACGGGAATGCTGAGGAATAGACTTCTACCACTTGTTTGGTTACAACAATAAAACTTGAGTCCGATCAAAGTCTGTTGGGTTTCACAAAATCTTTTTTAATTTTTATTTTTCAAAGACTAGTTAATGTTACCCACCACAACAGGTAATTGGGAACTGGAGAAGAAAACAAAGCCCAACCTTGATACTTTGAGAAGCTACCAAGACTTGCACCCTGTAAGTTTCATATAGCTATTTGGGACACTGCTTTGGTGAGTTTACATTGAATGTATACTTTTGGGTACCTTTTGTCAAGACTCAAGAGTGTGTGTTCACAAAAATATTACCAAAAATATAATCAAATTTTTTTATGTTGCAACAAAATATGGTATCAAGAGACAAAGACAATCATTCATTTTGAGATTTAATCACATCTTAGTTGAAGAAGATTTGTCAACTGTGAGGAATGCCTCAACTTTGATCCTGGCATTATGAACACCACACTACATGCATGAGACCTCTGATCTCTCTACCAACTGTAGTCGAAATTAAGATCCTGAATTCGAGACTATCTACACCAAAAATATTCTCAAACCAAGATATTATAGTGCTTAAGTTATCACTTGTCATCCAAAGAACAAGTGGAAATTTTGGCAAAAAGGAAGGGGGGGGGGGGGGGGGGGGGGGGGGGGGGGGGGGGGGGGTGTCGTGTTAACACTCAGAAACATACAGATGATAAGCTGATAAAGGCTCATATTCACAACAATTTTTTAAAAAAGGGAGAAAAAAAAAAATTCACTTCCACCAGAATCTATATTTGAAAGACAAACATGACCCCAAGGGTGCATCTGATCTGTTCCAGTGGTTGACAAACAATGTGACTGGAGATTATCCAAATCATTTTCTGAATAAAATTAATAAAATGCAATGCAAATTATTTAAAGAAACAGGATGTTGAAGTGTGTGTGGGGGGGAATAAACATGCATCCCTATAAAAAGTTACACAGCAATTTAAAGAAACGGGTTGTTGAAATGTGTGTGTGTGTCTGTTTCCCTTCTGAAAACAGAATGTTGAAGTTATACCTGGAAGAGTACTAACTTTCTCTATGACATTCCAGTAATAAGAAACAGGATGATCAAGCCCGAGCTTCAAGCAAAAGTCCTGTAAAAACGAAAAAAAACATATATGGATTTGGCAGAGAATTCGTTAAGGTCTTGGCAACTAATTGAAAGAGAGAGTAACAGACACCACAAAATCTAGATATATAGACCATGATTGAATATAGCAAAAGGCACTAATCATGTAAAATTATTCAACAGAATTTGGGGGCAATGAGAAAATCAAACCCTGTGGTTCACCTGAATTTGACCAATACCTGAGATGTATTAGCAGAATTTTAGAGAGAATCCTTCCATATGACCAAAAAATTGTACAGTGGTTAAAATTATTTTATAGAATAAACTACAGGAGAACAAGAATAGAAGAACATTACTCTTGCTTGCCAAGTTGAGTAGAAATAACCTCTGCGAGTGTCTTTGCTGCCAAAGGAAGGCCTTCGCACCTGTAAATAATTTTGTAGTTTGCAGTTGCACAGAGAGAGAGAGGGCAAGTTCAGAGTTGAGAACGAGAATAGAGATTGGGGCGGTTGAAATCATTGTGCAACTTGAAAACGGCACTGAAGGAGAGAGCTGTGTAAGAAAGGGGGCTCGGTTAGGGCAAAACGAAATGGGAAAGTGAAATTGCAAAACGACTATGGGAAAGTGAAATACAAAGTGCAAAGTAGGACAAAGCTCTTACCAGTGATGGAGAGCGCGAGAGATGTTGCAAGTGAGAAATCGGCAGATATGGGTTTTGATATAGGTAATAGGTTTTGAACTTTTGATTCTAGCAAACAGATAGATAAACTGAAGTATATGGGTTTTGAACTTCTGATTCTTGTAGATTTTGTAGTTTGCAGTTGCAGAGACAGTGAGAGGGCAACTTCATAGTTAAGAACGAGAATAGAGATGGAGGCGATTGGGGAGGCTGAAGAGAAACCTAGGGTTGAAGTTTGTAACGGTTGGATGAGATTGGTAAAGTTAGAAACAAATGGTAAATTAAGTAAATAGTAAAGTGAAATAATATTAGAGCCGCCAAATTTTCCGCAATAAAAAAATTGACTAAATTTCGAACTTACTTTCATTTTAGCGAGCGCTGATTAAAGTACATGTATACGTAGTAATTATTAGACAACACCCGCGGTCATAAAAAGAACGCTGGTGAATCTTTAATTTGTTACGGTACAAACAATACTTACATCTCCTTTGTGCCAATAATTCAAAACCCTACCTCCCTACAAGATTATAGACTTATTTCTTGCTACAATACAATCTACAGATGCATTGTCAAGCTTCTTGCCTCCAAGCTACAAATAGCCCTCCCACACATTATTGACTCATCTCAGTCTGCTTTTATTCCTGGAAGGAAAATCATTGACCCTATCCTAGTTGCTCATGAGCTTTTGAGGGGTTACCATAGAGACAGCCCTCCAGCTATATGTGCAATCAAAATAGACCTCAGAAAGGCTTTTGATTCTGTGAAGTGAGACTTTATCATAAGCTGCCTCAATTTGCTTGGATTCCCAGAAAAATTTATCTCCCTCATCCACACTTGTAACTCCATACCATCCTTCACCATTGCACTTAATGGTGAATTCCATGGCTTTTTCAAGGGTAAAAGAAGATTGAGATAAGGGGACCCCATCTCCACCCTCCTCTTTGTGATTGTGATGGATGCATTATCTTCAATCATCAAGATCTATGTTGAGAGAGCCCACACATTCAAGTATCATTGGAGGTGTAAAAAGTTAAAGATCACACACCTTTCATATGCTGATGATTTGCTGTTGTTAAGCCATGGGGATATCACTTTTGTATCCATTCTCAAATGTGCTTTAGACCACTTCTGTTCCATGAAAGGCCTAGAGATTAACCTCACCGAGAGCACAGTTTTCCTCTCTGGTATTGAGCATCACACTGAGGTTGCAATTACATCTCTACTTAGCATTGAGGCTAGCTCTCTTCCTGTCAGATACCTTGGAGTTCCTTTGATCTCCACAAACCTTAAGTCAGCTCACTGCAGTCTCCTTATTGATAGAATTACCCACAGGATTAACCACTGGTCATCTAGATCCTTATCCTATGCAGGAAGACTACAACTCATCAAATATGTGTTGGTTTCAACCCAACTCTACTGGTGTAATACCTTCATTCTACCAAAAGGAGCCAATTAAATGAACTGAACAAAATTTTCAAGTCCTTCTTATGGTTTCGTCCAGAGCTGAAAGCAATAGGGCTTGAAGCAAAGTTTGCAAGCCCAAGGAGGCTAAGGGTTTGGGAATTCCAAATTTATAGCTGGCCAATAAAGCTGCAATTCGCAAATATATTTGGGACCTCCAAACAGATAACTCAAAGAGAATTTGGATTACATGGTGTAGGACTTACCTCATCAAATCAAGGATTCTATGGACCCTCAAGTTCCCTCAGCCTTGCTCTTGGACTTGGAGGAAGATTCTCCAGTTAAGGCACACTGCAAGGATGCTAATCAAGCATACCATTGGGAATGGTAGGGACACTGCAATCTGATGGGACAACTGGCTCCTGGAGGATCTTTTTACACAAGATTCCCTCTTAATACAATCACTGATGCTGGTTTATCTGATACCATCACCGTTGACTCCTTTATTGTGAACTCCACTTCGTCCTTTCCCTCATATTTAACAAACCAAATTCCAGAGTTACTGTCTTTGCAACCACCTTGTCCCTTAAGAAGTGATAAGAAATTTTGGATTGCACCACCTGTAGGGATCTACACTCTCAGGAGCACCAAAACATTCTTAGAAGGCCACATCCCCACAGCCACATGGAGCAATCTGGTATGGCATTCCCATGTGATCCCAAGGATGAAGTTCAACCTTTGGTTGGAAGTGTAATCTAGATTGCCAACTTTGGATTCTAAGTCAATGTCTCAACATCATAGCATTTATGCCCTCTGTCACAATTCAGAAGAATCTCATGATCATCTCTTCTTCAATTGTGTTTTCATCTCTCCTCTTTGGAGATACATCAAAGACAAATGCAATATTTGCACCCCTTTATCCAATTGGGATGCCCTGGATCATTGGGTAAGCTTGCATTAGAAATCTTCCTCGGCCGCTAATATGTATCGCAAATTATGCTTCTCCTTAATCATTTACCATACTTGGGATAAACGTAATGAAAGGATCTTCTGTCTGAAAGAATCATCACAGAGACTGGTCCTTGCTAGAATTTGCTCCACTATTTCCTCTATTCTTAGGCTTGGATTTCTTAAAGATTGTGCCAGCTGAAGATGCATTCTCTATGATTGGAACCTTCCTCCATCTTGTTGTCATCCTCCTTTTCGTCCGCCTGACTGAGATCATCATCCGTCGTCGCCGTCGACATATCCTTACAGGCTAGGGGTTTCTTACCAGAGCGTGCCCATTAATGGCTGATTAGTCACTTAATTGCTGTTTCTTTGTTTATCCTATAGGTTTTTGTTTAGGCTGTCCTTTAGTGGGTTTTCCTTGCCTTTCCTTTTTTGGGCTTGTTTTGTCCCTTCGTGGGTTGTTTGGCTGAAGGCCTTTTTATACATTTTTACTACTATTTATATCAGTTGCTTTATTTTTCAAAAAAAAAAAAAAAAACATGTAAATAATATGGACGCAAATCTTCTCCAGTGCACCTCTCACTGGAGCAGATCCAGTGCAGAGCCAATGGCTGAGGTGAAACCACCTCAGCCCATTTGCCACATCATCTTCCAGTCAGCACCCAGTCAACATATACACAATAAAGTTACTGATGTACTATTTTCATTTATCACATGTACGAATACCCTATACACTTATATTAATACATCATACACTTATACATTATACATATAAGAATACATAATTTACAATTACATTTAATTTTATTTTGTTAAAAATTACCTTTAACTTTACCTTTTCGGTAAAATTACAGAACCCTAATCTCTCTCCTCTACTCTGTTCTTCGTCTTCGTCGCGTCGTCTGAACCTTCTACTGTTCTTCTTCCTTCCAACTCCTGTACTCTCTCCTGTTCGTCTTCGTCTGAACTGCGAAATTTGAAAATTTAAAGGCTAGGTTAAAATCTATAGCGAGGAAGAAAATGAATAAACGTATATTCCAATTACCTAAGAAGAAGAAGTCAATTTCTACCAATGGCGCAAGAACAGAAAACGTCTCACATGAAGGACAAACCTCACGTGAACGACGAAGCAGTGTTGGTATTTCTGGTGGTGAGCAGGAATTAGTGAACCGGCCTCCCACAGTGTTCTTAATGTATAGGTAAACATTGATTATGTATCGGTTTGTTTTAGGGTTTATAAATTTATTTCAGATTTTAGGGTTTGGAATGGTGAAATTGAGTTTTGGAAGTTAATTTTTTTAACGTGTTAGGAAAATATTATGATGGTATATGCAATTGATATATGACACATGATCCATGTTTTAAAAAGTTGTGATAATATGTTATTATTAATTTAGGAATTGTGAGATTAAGTTGTGGACGTTAATTTTTTTAAGTTGTTAGGTCAATTTATTGATGCAATATAAATAATAAGTTAATTTCATACATGATACATGTTTAGATAAGTTGTGAGCATAATAAATTGATCTGTCTAACTTTTGTATTGTATTGCGTTACAAATAGTAGGTGATGAAATATGCAAATCTTCCTACATATATGTTAAAGTATTTGTGGTTCTTATTATTAATTTATGAATTGTAAAACTGAGTTGGGAAAGTTAATTGTTTTAACGTGTTAGAAAAATATGTTGATGCAATAAGCAATTCATACATGATACATATAAAAATAAGTTGTGATAATATGCAATGCATACATGAAGGGCCGACTGCATTAGAAAGTACCGAAAAAAGCACTCAAAACATGACAAGTTACCGAAGGCAGTGATGCATGCAGTGCACAAATCTGCTAGACAGACATGGAATGCAATGTCTGCTGCTGATAAAGAGTCATGGATCAGGGAGTGTACAAAACGAAAAGAAGAGTACGACAACCTTCCTGAAGAAAGAAAGGCCCCAAAAAAAGAAAGGGTTATTAAATTTTAATGTAAATATTTTATTTGATGACAAAACTCAGAATGTATGCATAATGTGTTATAATCATATTCCTTTGAACAGAAGAAAAATGAAAAGATCAATCCGACCCCAGGTGCCTGGCACAGATACTCTCTTTCCAAGTTCTGCGAAGCAGTTTCACAGCTTGATGAGGAAAGGATAAAAGCTGTTGAGGAGCTTGGATTTGGAAAATTGCTGGAACTTAAATGTTGTTTTTTGTCCCGGGAGTTATGTATGTATTTAATAAAAAAATTTGACTCTAAAAAATGTTGTATAAAAGTTGAGGACATAGGCTATTTACCCATCCATTCAGCTGATATCCACTCGATTCTTGGCATAACATTTGGTGTTCCAAAAGTGCCGAAAAATAATCACTTTCTTGATTCTAAATGGATAGATGAAGGTGGTTACAAGGAAGCTGGTGGAATGCACCAAGATGTATTGTTAGAGCGGGTTTTAACGGTAAAGGGACTGGATGAATTCAAGCGAGCATTTATGCTCTTTGCTTGCAGTACTGTACTCAGTCCCATCGGTCGCAATAATTGTCATTGGGGCTTGTTGAAAACTGTGGATGATGTGAATGCAATTAGCAGTTACAACTGGTGCGGATATGTCCGCGATTGTTTGGTGTGAACCCTGGAACCATCTGCAGACAGCAAGCTGAAAAAGTCACACGGTGGTTGTATGATTTTTTTGCAAGTATCATTGGTTATGATTTTATACATTTGCCTTTAAAATGTGTGTGAATTACATATTAATTTTATGAAACAGAAATAATATATACTTTAATTATTGGTCTTTTAAATCAATTGCTTTATCTGATGCGTTGTGATACGCAATACCGAGCTTATCCTGAGGGAGATATTAAAAGCTTTGGTTTTTGGACATCAGAGGTTGTACGATCACGCATCAGATGGGAGATGGGTAATGGAGGTTTTGGACATGGACAGGTATATTTACGAATAGTATTTTGTATTATTGAAAATAGTTATATATATATTATAATTTAATGATAGACTAGTGT